ATAGGCATACACCCTTTTAAACAGGGAAGCACCACGACCACAAAATATTACTGGTCCTAGGTGAGCTATATTTGATTTCTTAAATATGTATGGCAGAATCGCCTAAACGCACGGAAATTCATCCTAGTTGACACAAGATCCCCATAGTATACCGCCCCAGATGTCACCTGCAAGCTATTCAGCATTATATTACGTTCATTATACCAATTCCACTACTAGACTACTGTCGGTAATTTGTGGACACTAATAGGACGTAAATATTAGACATCATAAGAAACTATACTAGACCAACAAACATACCGATATGACACTCAGGAAGTACCAAAGATAAACTTTCTTGGAACCAGCAACGAAATTATTAAGAAGTAAATTGGAGACACGTAGTTTAAAATGTTTAACTTCGAACAAACCAGGTCATCTCATATTCATATGAGTACTTTTACAAGAAAAACAGATACATAAACATAGGTAAAAATATTTATGCATATTTCGTCACTTTCAGTACGTTACAAAATACAGTGATGTGTGTGTAAAATATATGGTTCTCTATACTCATGAACGAGTCTTCAGAAATGACGAAAACATTGTAGAAACACAGCTGCTTTACTGCGTAAGAATTTAGTAACAATAGCTGTTTGAGTAACCCAGTGGTTGTCTGCATAAGATTAGATAAAATATTATCCTAATAAACGTGTTTAGAGAAATAGAACTGGGTTTTAGGTATAAGGTAGCAAAAGAGCAGATGGATCTTCTGATGGGAAGCGGGTACCGTTGCCCATGAACAGTTTCAACTATAGATTTATGTTAAAAAATTCAAATTCAAATTTTTAAATTCAAAATATTTTTATTTCATAAAAAAATATTGAAATCGTCTTTTATGTAGACTCTTAAGTCGTAGATCAACACACACATAACAGCAACAATCTCTGTTTTGTCAAATAGTAAGCAAATTTTTTTAAATAAAAATTAAACTTATACAAAACCTATGATATGCCTGTGCCGATCCACAACCGCCCGTTTCCTAGGGCAAACAAACTCATAGCCACTCTTTTGCAATTTACAGATAAATCATTGCATCATCAAATATACCACAACATTGTAACGTGGCAAAATATGGCTCACATCACATCACATCATCAGCCTTTAACAGTCCACTGCTTGACATAAGCCTCTCCTTAGAAAGGCGGTTAAAAGGAAAGAAAAAAGGAAGTTTATCTAAATGTGTCATGTAGAGAAATTAAAAATGAGTATCGCTGTCAATACATGCATAGAAACATGTAAATACGACCCCCGAGTATTGCAGTCAGAACCATGTTTCACCACCACGCCGATATTAAAATGTCATTCTACATTATAATCGCCAAATAAGGAAAGCGAACATATCATATTTTAAGTGAAATTAACATTTACTTTAAGCTTTATTGACATTAGAAGTTAACAAGTTGTTTGCTTGAATATATTCTGTTATACGCCTCGTTACATAAAATTACATCAATCAGTAGGCGCTTTGAACACAAAATTATGGGCCTGTATATTATTAAGATAATTTATGTTAATATTTTCAGATTAATTCAAGAATAAATTTGATCTTTTTGATTAAAAACAATTTCTAGGTACGGTTATACGACTCGCACTGACCGATAATTATCGGATAGTGCGAAATCGCGAGTAGTGCAAAAAACTAACAAAAAAAGTGTTGGTTGCAACCAAACAACTCCCGCGCTATTAATATGTCCTGTGTCTGTAACTTTACAAACATTCATGAAACGAAGAACACCCAGACTCAGAGCAACAATTTGTGGATCACAAAAAGTTTTGTTTCATGTGAGGATCGAAACCCCAACACTCAGCGCAGTAGGAAGCTTCAAGGTACAGGTATAATGACCCTGAACCTGTTCAAGCTTCTGATTACATTCCTAAATATACCCATACAAGCAACATTCCTTTCCTACCAGAGAAAAAAATAGGCAAAGCTAACTCCTCCTCTTTCTTTAGTTTATTACCAATCTATACCCATTTCTAATTCTCTTATCTAATCCCTAAAACCGGTTGACGGCAATAGAGAACCATTTTTTTTTCTGTGGGGCAGTCCCATCGGATACCACCCACCAGTGGTTATGTCAGTGTCAATCATAAAGTACAAGTGTTTTGAGTCTGAACTAGTCGCATCTTATTATTTCAGCTCATTCAAAAAATACATCAAATTATAGTATGCTGTCTCTTTTTTTTATGGTATATGGCAAACGAGGAGACGGGTCACCTGATGGTAAGCAACTACCGCCGCCCATGGACACCTGCAACTCAAAAGTCACAAGTGCGTTGCCACCCTTGGAGTCCCTCCCGCTCGAGAGAATTGCTTAACACCGGTTTTCTGTGAGGCCGTGATATCACTCCGATCGAGCCGACCCATTCCAGCCAAAGCATGGCTCTCCCACGGCTCTCTCTCTTAAAGTAATGCAGCCAAACAATTTAATATAAAACTACCATCAACTAAGTGAGTTATAAACTAATTAAATAAATGTATTTCCTTCGCCTTATTATAAGGTTTTAAGTAATTGTTCAGTTGTAAAGGCAATTAATGTTATTTCGTAAGAGACTCGCTAGTTCTAAGAATGATAGAAATAAAACAAACTTTACGACTTGGAGCGATGTTTGAGATTAAAGCTTTCGCCGATACCACTACGATCAAATAAAATACTTCACTGTACATTAATTTATTTCTCATTAAATAGTTGATAACCGTTACTGAATTGTCGGCAATGTATAATGTATAGCTTCCAATTTTTGTAGGGAAGTTTAGGTCGGAGTATTCTCCCTTCGTATCTTACAGAATTAAAATGTTTGTATCATTGTTTAATTATTATGATATATAATTGCAGGCTATGTTATCAGCAATTTATTATCAGAAAAGAATAAAATAATTAGTTTCGCTGAGTATATATCTAAATCGGCAGACATTGCCTGTTCAATGCACTATTTTCTTTTTTATCAAAATTAAATTTGACATTGTAAATCTTTAAAAATTACAGTAACAGTCGGATCCTTTAGCTGGCTACAATGTTTTTGGCATCGATTTAAAATATTATGGTGACTTATTGTGTCGATAATTGTATTAGCGTTTAAAGAAATTACTAATCTCGGTTGAAAAAAAAATACATTAAACACAATAAAATAAATTTTAACATAAATGAAACCTTGAAATTTTTATCTATAAATATAAAATTACTGTACTGTAAGTTTAAATGGGCAATTCATCATTTTCAAAGTTGGCACTAGGAAATTTCGTATACCTACTTCAGCTTACAAATAAACGAATAAAGTATCAGGGTTTTGGCCCCCTAAGGGGGTGAATTCGGGGTCGTAAGTTTACATGCAAAGCTTATTAAACATAGTTTATGAAAAAATAACTTCAATTTTCTTATATCTAGCTTCTTAACTATACATTATTAATTATTTGCCATGATTGACTGACTGATTGAACTGAGCCTAAACCGCTGGGGCTACAAACTTGAAATTTCAGCGGCTGCTGCGTGTGATTTATGGCCAACCATAAATTACATCACACGTTAGGGGGGAGGTTAGCAAAGTGTGACAAGGGGTGGGAGGGTTCCTAAGTTTTGTGACGTCACATTTCAAAACCTATATCTAAGTATTAAAATGCGAATTTTGAATTATTGACAGTAATACAACAATTAACCCTTTTGTTAATTTTTCACAAATGTGACCAGCTGTGACAAGGAGGTGGGGTGAGAGTCAAAAGAGCACAGCCGCAAATATAAAATATCAAATAATACCTATTTTATATTTAAAAATTTTACTCTTAGAAATTATAAGGTAAATTCTTTTAAATCAATACTCTTGTCTTTATTTGACTGCCTCGGTGGTGCAGTGGTAGCGTATGCGACTGCTGTGCTGAGGTCTCGGGTTTGATTCCCGGGTCGAACTAAATATTTGTATGATCTGCAAATATTTGTTTTGGAGTTGGGGTGTTTTCTATATATAGTATGTATGTATTTATAAAAAAAAAAGTATATAAGTATTCAATCAGTCAATTTAGCTCTAATAGTATAAGCTCTGCTCTATATGTTTATATTTACGATAAAAAAAGTATATTAGTATTCTTTTAGTCAATCTAGCTTTCATAGTACAAACTCTGCTTAGTTTAAAACTAGATGGCGTTGTGTCAGATGACCGAAAATATTATTGTCATTATATCTTTCATATAAATATGTAAGTAGTTAAATAAATTACCTTTCATAATTTATTTCAGACTACACTGTAAGATTTTTCTAGCCTTTTTGATTCTTAATTCGAAGTTTTACCCATGAAGAAATAGCTTTTTTGATAAATATATGGATATACAATTATCTTAATTTTGTTTTTATTTTACTATTGACCTAAAAAAAGCAATGTTTTGCAGCAGCTTTTTAATTAATCCTCATAGTTTTTGAAATAGCCATGTTTATAAAGTGTATATATGAACTGTTTTAAACTTTGACGCGTTCTTCTGTAAATTTGCTGATTTGCAGATCCTACATTCTTAATAGGGATGAACGTTTTATTTATATATTGGTATCCACTAAGTGTTGCTTGACATAGTCATAGTTTGTGAAGAGCTTTATATATAGTAACACATCCTAATAATAATGTTTTTCACTAAGCTTTGGTGTAAAAAAATATTTTTTGACCAGGAATTTTCAAGAGGTAACTTTGACGAATTTCCTTCAAAGATTTCCGAAATGAGATTAAACAATTTAATTAAAATTAAGAAGGATTGTGCTAGCTTTAAAAATCTTAGTAATTCATGATCAAACAATATTCATTTATTAATTATAAATTTCTCTCAGAAAAATTGTGTCTGCATGTGTACTGTATTTGTGTCATGTAAAGCAAAAAATATGTCTCAATAACAATATATATTTCGTCATCGCCTTCAAAAGTTAAGATAAAAACTCAATTAAAAACCTTTTTAATTCAATGTCTGACAAAAATGATAAAAATCAATGTAAGTTATCAAAATACGCATTCTCATCACCTACCTCATCATTCCACTCACTATCACCATACTCTTGATCACTGTCCTCTTGCCTATCCCTTCGTTGAGCCTGCTTCTCTGCCTTAATACGCTGGAAATCTTTCACGACCCCATCCATTTGTTTCGTACTCAACCAGGACTGCATAGCAGTCAGAAGCTCCATCTGACTCCAATCAGGATCCAAAGAATTCAACTCATCAATCTTTTCGTATAACTTATCCGGAGTGTTAAGTTTTTCCAATTTTCGGTAAAGCCGGTCGAATACATTAGGTGAGTCGGTGACATGAGCGGTCCGGATGCTGTGTGTGAGCAAGATCACGAGCAGGGATTGGCGCAGCATCGTGCGACCGCGGCAAGATTGCTACTGGCGCGAGCCAAGCGTACGGCGTGCGAGCGATGCGTAGGGTGAAAGCCTCTGTTACGGGCCTCGTTAAAAATTAATTTTAAATTTATTGTTTTAATAAAACATTTAAGATGACGGGTTTTGACTGTTTCATAAATAATTTTGAATTCTGTGCTTCTTTAAAATTAAAAGTATCAATATAAAAACTACACAATAGCACTTAATATTCATTTACTTCGAACGCAAGTAACCAAGACTGAGCTGTTATCGCACTTCTTTAAATTAACTTGACCTATGATTGAAATTCGTTTACAGGGCTTAAATAATATCATCGTAAATAACAAGTTGTATATCACTATTAACGTAGGTATGTATAGTATTTATATATAAATATAGATTAGTAGGATTTATGTATAACAAATATTTCATAGGTTAAGACCGTATTTATTTCTCTAATTTCAGTATACCTATCACCAGTTCAAAATTAATCCAGTCTATCCAAAGGTTGCCTGCAAGAAATTGCACTAAGCGATAAGGCCTTTTGTTCATTTCATCTGTTGTTAATTACTTTATAATATCTGTAAAACCCTGGTGTACAAATAAAGTATTTATCTATCTATATATCACTTTTTAAAACAGCAAATTAATAATAAATTTTCATAGGGTATTTTTGCTGTTAAAAAAAATCTAGACAGCACAACCAGCAAAGTATAGTATATATGTATATAAACGTAGTGAAAACGTCTAGAACCTGTTAACCTACTATTTTTTGTTGTTTCCAGTAAAACTACAAAACACTTATTCTTTACTCACTTAGACTTAGAAATCGCATAACAATTCCTTGTGATAAACATCCTAATTATTAATTTCCATACAAAAAACTTAACATAAATAAGAATTATTTTAACTACGTATACAATGTATGTAATCTCAAGCGATATCATAAAAATGTTTTAAAATTATCTGGTCAATTAAAGTCGTAGTGATAATGGCTAATTATAGAGTAACTACTATTAAAACATCGCCGTGAAGTGTTTGATATCATCTTACAATTAAATAAAACCACATATACCTACACAAGTAAATATTCTTCGATAATTTATTAAAATTATAAACTCTGTATCTTATGTGTTCAATATACAGTTGATATTCATATAAAAGGTATAAGTATAAACACCAAGACGATATGTGAGAATATAAAAAGCACTTTTTTTAGCTAACTTCTTTTTAACAGATACAATTTGCATATACAGACTTAAAAAAGAAAAGAGGTACTGCAATACGGTTCTTTTTTTTATGTTTGTAACCAGAGCTCCATCATTTATTTACCGATTTGGGAGTATATATTTTTCATTTTGTCTTATTTAAATTTGAAGATAAAATACCAACCCTGACGATGGAAAATTAAGAAACAAAAAGTATGGTCATCAGGTTTTAGATACATAGAAGTTCTTTAAAATGAGAAAAATCATCCATTGTTCTATTTTAACAGAAATTCCTCGCTAACCAATGTAAAGGGGTTATTTTGTATAATTTAAATATTCTTACTTTTTGAAAGAACAAGTCATTAAGTCGTAAACATTTTCGTTTATTGATAAAACTACAAAACTTAAATGGTTTGTGACATAAACCGATCAACGTAGCTTCAACGCCTTATTTTTTTTTTCAAATCGTTAACAGGAATATTATCCTGTCCATATAAAAATCCAACAGCCAGCAACTGGCGAGCCCGCCCCATATTAAGTATAAGTTACAAATATATCATAGACGTCTCAGCTCATTCATATCGCCGCATCTGGTCCATATAGAGTCTGGTGCAGATTGCTCTATTCACTAGAAAGTTCTTAGCTGCTGTACTGGCTTTCAATAAAATATTTATTACTTTACCCACGAATAGAGATTTTGTCTTTAAATACGACCTATGAAATTCTTGGGTGCAGTTACTTGAACAAGAATCGAAGAATTCTTCTGAAGTCCACAGATGTTATTTTATTTATTTGTTTTTAGTCACAAGTATAGTCTGTACAATGGCGGACTTAATGCCACAGGCACAATCTGAGATTGTGTCCTCGATTTAATTACTGGCTCGACCGAAGTGATACGACAGACTCACAGAAAACCGCTGTTAAACGATTCTTATTACATTAACTCTTATTTCATTTAAAAGGATTTAAAAACTGGCTCCTGGATCCAGGTGCACACAATCAAAATCACTTACCTCCTAGCTAGAGACCTCCTGTTTTCTCTGCATCACCCAATAGTTACCTTTTTTTTTTTTTTGTCCGTGCGGAAAACCCCTTCGGATACAACCTGTCGGTGGCATGTCGGACTCGAACCGACTAAAACCGCACGCCGTCTCGGGTACTAATAGCCGGGGAACCAGGTATACCCTAGAAAGGAAGTCCCTGGTACACCCAATAGTTACCTGGCAGAGAATATTTTAGGCATTAAGTCCACCTATGTGTCAAATGAGCATAAATTGTAATAAAACGGGACTTAACGGACGAGTACTTATATTTATAATCTGTGACGTAGGTTACAAGCCCCGTAAGCAGTGTCAGGACCTGAGAACATTTTACAATCACCTGTAAATTATGCATCAAAAAATATCTCCTTACTTTAAAAGTATTTCGAAACGCTACATCGATTAGTACGGTTTTTTTTTAATATCTCTTAGTAATAATGAGGACAAATATCTTAAAGGTTGTCACTAACTAAAGCGTTCTACCAAAGTAAGAAAATTGGACTGCACGGATGGCGTGGTGGTTTAAGCCCACGCCGCTTCCTACTACGCCGAGTGTTGTGGGTTCAAACCCCACATGGGACGACACTTTGTGTGATCCACAAATTGTTGTTCTGAGTCTGGGTGTTCTTTGTGTCCGTTTCATGTATGTTTGTAAAGTCCCCCGCGACACAGGATATATATTACTAATTCTAAGGTGTTTTATAAAGAAATGCGGGAGTTGTCTTTAAAAAAAAAACAAATATGCCTAAATAACAATTTTTTTTGTACGTTTAGTTGGTTGTCGTCGACATGGGGTAACAATAAATAACAATACATTTTATAAAATGTATTGTAAACTGATAATTCTGCAACAAAAGAACAGATAGCTTCATAACAATCGTACGTTCGTAAGATTATGTAAATAATTACGGATGATGAATATAACACGACTTTCATTGCATTTTCGAACCTAAATACAAGAGTATTTTGATCCAAATTGGCTTAATATATCAACGGTAATATATTAGTGGTATGCAAGAATCAATTGATGGGCCTGTTGGTCTAGTGGTTAGTGACCCTGACTGCTAAGACGGAGGTCATGGGTTCGATTCCCACCCAGGACAAATATTACTGTTATGAGCACGATCATTTGTTGTGTGTGTGTGTGTGTGTGTGTGTGTGTGTGTGTAATTTATCTATAATATGTTATAGTATAATATGTTTATCAGCAGTCTGGTTACCATAGTACAATACCTCTCACCATATTACACTGCCTATTTTGGGATCAGACGGCCGTGTGTGAGATGAATTATATTAAAAACTTTACAAATTTCACGCTAACGAATTCGTTGTCACCAGCTAGTCAATAATATAAGTATTGTTACTGTTTAGAAATATATAAGTATGTTTATCAGCAGTCTGGTTACCATAGTTGAATTGGGATCAGACGGCCGTGTGTGAGATGTATGAGGGTATTATTATTATTATAATTGCTTGCTGTCCGTGTCGTGACGGATTAAGAATACGGAGTGTCGCCACCCCTATTCATCCCGTGGGTGTCGTAAGAGGCGACTAAGAGAGCAAACTACGCAGGACAACAGCACTGCAAAGAGAAGGAAAACTTGACATAAACCCTATACCAACCCGTCTGGCCAGCGTGGCATAGTAGGCCAAAACCTCCTTTCTAAGGAGAGGCCTATGTCCAGCAGTGGACTATTAAAGGCTGTTAATGATGATTGATGATAATTGCTTGCTATAATAGCGATCGCGCGCTATCAACACTTTGTCTCGTATGATATTCTATAGTGTTTTGTCTGATATTCTGCCCGGTGTACGGCACGAGACTAAAAAAAGCGCAGTGAGAAATACCTACCAACAATGGATATTGCTGTTATTACTATTAGATAATTTTTATGATGTTTTATACATATATTTTACTTGTGTATAACACTGCGTTATACATTATTGAACTCAGTAAATATGTACTAATAAGAAATAAAACATATTTTGTAAAACAATCATAACATTTTTTGACGACGGATGGCGTAGTGGTTTGTGTAACGTACTGCTATTCCAAAGGTCGCGGGTTCGATTCCCGCTCAAGTCAAACATTTGTGTGCATGAACATTTGATGTTTGATTTAGTCTGGGTGTTTCTATGTATAATATGTATGTATTTACAAAAAAAAAGTATAAATGTATTTATATCAGTTGTCTAGTACCCATAGTACAAGCTCTGCTTAGTTTGGGACTAGATGGCGTCGTGTGTATGTGGTAGAATATTGTTATTATTATTATTAAAACAAGAAATGTAAATCCACAAAGCTACCCTACATTTTAAGACCATATTTATTACGTTCATATACCAAACAGTTGTTGCTGCTCATTTTTTATTCAAACGTCGGAACACGTGAAAGGAATGCACTCGAATGAGTCTTAACCTTTAAGAATTACGATCGGATGCAATTCGCCTTGGTATTCAATAAAGGGAGACTTCTTACGGAGATTTTTGTGCACATGTTGTGTGAGATTCAATGCGACGTTAAGTGCAAATTATTAATACATACTTAAATTATAACATGGCAGGAATATGACTCATGGTATACTTTTAAGCTCACATAACACAGCCCGGGGTATCGGTGCATTGTTTGTGTTTAACTTATTACAAACAAATTTGAAGACTATACCACTGCTTACGATATTTGCAGGACCATACACATATATACACTCACGCCTTTAACCCCAAAGAGTTAAACAGAGACGTATTATTTTCA